GGGGGGGGGGGTTGGATTTAGACAATTTATTCAACAACATTTAAGAATATTACACGAGCTATCATGTCAGCATTCTCACCAAGCAAGTACAAAATTAATATAAAAGATAGCATTATACGAGTGAAAATAAAAAACATGACCAGCATAAATTTAAATTGATAACCGCTACTGTTGCTGAAATTGATCAATCATTAATAATAAAAAATAATCTATAAGGAATTTCACTTAAATAAAGGTGCCTGTCATCAACAGACAACAGCAAACTCTTCTTTGATTGTTTTCCTTTAAAGAAAAGCCACATTTATGCTTGTTGTGGAAGTTTTCCATTTAAATAAAGCCTGCAGATGAGCGGTGAGCGATAGCTAACATTCTTTAATCCAAACACACAAAGAACAGAAAACCAAGCTTGTGGAGAGCCTACATGACCATGGGGAAGGGTCAGCAGAGTCTCTCTGAGCCTAGCATAGCTCTCAGTTAAATAACTTCTCCAGGAACAAAAGGCAGTACACAGCTGTTTCACACCTTAAGGTTCACACTCCCTTGCTACCTCCCAGAGTCCTGGAAGAGACAAAAGACTCTTCCTGTAGAGTGGTCTGCTCCCCCCAACTTCCTTACTACACCCCCACCATTTGTCTTAAGTATGGGTGTCAGACATGTTAAAATCCAGTGGCACCAAGGCATCATACAATAAAAATAATGTGATTAATACATAAGTAAAAGAAATTCCTATACATGCTCTTTTACCTTTTTTACTTGGTTGTCTGCACCCTACCACTGCAGCCCACCGCACATATTGAGAACTAGCTCTACCAATCCATCTCAGTGCTCACTGCCAAGTAAGCTGTTTAGCATTCACTAAACAGCTTAAAATTTTCATACACTTGGAATAACACAAGTTGATTATAATTCAATTTGTTTTTCCAAGTTTTTTCACAACATAAATTAACTCTCATCTTCCTCTCCTGTCCTCTGTTTATAACATCAGTTCTTTATATTATCACACATTAGGCTTTCTCTCGATGGAAAATACACAATTCTTTTATCTCTTTCCCATTTTTCAGCACTTGTTAGATGGCTATAATACAGAATTTCCACAACAACAGCTGTGACATCTGTGTGCATGAAAGCATGACAGGGATAAGAAGGAAAACAGGATGTGCAGACGGTGCAAGCAGGACCGTGGGATGCCACTTTTTAATTTGAGCAAGTACCTCAGTGCGATCAGCTGAAAAGACTGCCAGGCTGCAGCCAAGTAAAAATAATGGTGCTTTGTATTATTATGTATTTAACCACACAATCAGATTTAATTCATAATTAGCAGAAAATGCCAGAACGTCATTCCAGATCACTCTGTCCCACTTCAACACCAGTTTTTTAAGCTGTAAAGCTGGATTATTTCTTTATACATCTATGAGGACTGACTGAGTTTTGAAGTCACACTACCAGAGGAACCCCAGTTTTGGGCACTTATTTTGTTGGTTTGATTTTTAAGTTCTCAGGTTTGCCACTTATGTGAATCTTTTATTATGTATTGTGAGAATTTTGAGTTTTAAGATGCATTGTGTTCAATGACAATAATTTTCAAACAGATATTTCCTGTTTCAACAACCTTTTTCACCTAAGTGAAACGAAAATTGGACGTTTACTCAACACAATGTAGCCTCAGGACAACAGGCTTTTTCCACAGCAGATTCCTCATAGTAGGAAATGCTCATATTAGTGGTAACCTTAAAGCGTCCCTTTATTGTATTAAGGAAATCTTTGTAGTTCATACAACAAAGAGGCAGGACACACACAAGCTGAATGTACTTCAATATGTCAACATGACTTCAGCAAAAAGGGCTTATTATACTCCACAGGCCTCATATCTCAGGTAGAATTTGTGATGTTGTCACAAAAATGGTCTGTCAGGGGAAAAAAAAATTAATTGAAATTTATGGTTTTGATGTTCGGGCGAGTTTCTGTCCATGTCCATCTGATATGTGAGGCATTTCATACATAATATGCAGAAGAAAGCTCTTTCAAATGGTGTCCATTAGTGTGAGAAATTTGATTTTATTAAACTGGATCACGTGTTAGGAACTACCAGAGTCATACTCAAACCTTAAACCCAATGCCTGTTCAACTGCTCTTTAAACTTTAAACTGGGCATCAGAATGAAGAAGTGAGGCGACTTAAGTGACTTTAAATGTAGAATTGCTACTGGTGCTGCTATTTCAGAGTATATCAGAAACTACTGACCTACTGGGATTTTCACACACTGCCATCTTTAGGGTTTAGAGACTATTGGTCGGAAAAAGAGAAAATACCCAGTGAGTGGCAGTTCTCTCGGACAGTTAAAACAATTCAACTTAATAAACATGAATGGAAAGTTTATAGGAAGAACATCTTGTTACAACCAACATATGCAGAAGAGCATCTTGAAACAGATGTACTACAATAGCAGAAGACCACACCGGTGCCACTCCTGACAGCTAAGGTCAGAAAACCGAGGCTACAATTCAAACAGGACATGACAAGACTGGAAAAATGTGCTACCTCATCTGATCTCTCATCATAAAAACATGCCTCAACCGTGCCTTGTACCAGTGCTTCAACCTTTTGGTGGTGCTGTATTGGTGTGGGGATCCCTTAATATCAATTGAGCATCATTTAAACTCCACAACCCACCTCAGTGTTGTTGCTGACCATGTCTAGTCCTTTAGGACCACAGTCTACCATCTTCTTGAACATGACGATAAGCTTCTAAATAGCCTCCAAAATTTGAGAAATGTTTCCAGCATCTTGTTGAATCTATGCCACAAAGAATTAGGGAGGTTCTGAAGGCAAAAGGTTCACCTGGGTGCCAGCAATGTGTAACTAATGAAGTGGCCAGTTGCTGTTCTAAAGCTTCCAATTAGGGCAATGAGGAAAAGACAGTTTTCATACAGAACAAAATATTACCAGTATTAGTTTTAAAACCTGACTATTTTGCTTTGTTATTTACACAAATAGGACCTTTGAAATGGAAACTGCTACCAAAGATAGATGAAGAATGTACAAACAAGTTCCAATAAGTAAAAAAGTATTTCAAACATTTTCGTCTTACACAAAACCTTTGAGTTCTGCTTTAATAAATCTGACATTTGAGTGAATCAATCCAGTACTAGCAAGGTGTAAGTAAAGAAGTAGCTGGTGAGTGTATATTTGACTAATTACCAGAGCTCTACTCAAAAACATCCTTAGATTTCACTTACATTTGTTTATTACTTTCTTTATGTTTGTTTGCTGTGGACTCAGCAGTAATTGCTCCATTTATAGCCATGTGTTATTTCACTGATGAGAGCTCTAATATAAAAGAACAAACAGAAAAGCCATCCACAAATCATAAAATGTCATGACACATGGTGAACTTGGTGCATCCTTTTAATCAGGCCTTTGCTCTAGTCACATTTACATTAAAACAAAATATTTACACACATTAACTTCCTCATGCTACATTTCCAAGTGCTGAGTGAAGCTTTTTAAAGTACAAACACAAAAGACACAGCCGCTTATGTAGACTGTACAAAATTAGATGAATAGGTTATATAATCAAGCCAATGAAAATGTCTGCATCCTGAGTTCAACAGTCATAAAAAATAAAAAAAAATTAGAAAAAAAGTGCACATAAACTTAAATATGCCAGCCATCTCTGAAGAACCAGTCACTGGGCTCGGTTATGATTTAGCACTGTCAGACAAAGACAGCATATGCTGCATTAAAGCGAAGTCTCGAGCCT